CTATCTATAGTTGAGACGTTCAAAATTGGCATGATCCCCAATAAAACTGTCGCATTTACTGTCTTCTTTCAACTTACTAAATAGACTAGAGCGGTTGCTGACAGAACGTCTACTTTTACTTACGATAGATAGACGTTGTAGGACATATTGTAAATATAGAAAAGAGATGTCAGGTAGGAATTGCAGCGGATACTAATAAAGAAAAATAAACAACATTACACCAATTAATATGTAACAGAAAGAGATACAGACAAGCAGAATTTGAGAGCAAAAACGATTATTTAAAGATATAATTCCAACCAGGCACTTATAAAGCCGACCCTGATCTTCTACGTACCTAAGCCACCTCTAACCGCTGCACCGCTTACTATAATTCAGTTATCTCTTTTTCACTTTGTACTACTTACTCATCAAGCATGTCCTAACTTAACAAGTCCATTCTAACAGATAATTTATTGTGGACTCTGCCAATTTTGATCGTATCAACTATATAACAGTAACATGAGCGGCGATATTTGTTTTGCATCTGGGTAACCAATAACTCAGGAATGTTAGGAATAGAAATAATTGTTGCATAATATAATCCTACTTTTTGTAATCCTTTCTAATCGATGTTCAATTTATGTTAGTTTAGTTACAATCCTGTGTTAAGTAAGAACATTTTTTTTCCTTAAACGTGATGAATGATCAATATGGATTTTAACAGAAGCAAATAAACCAGCGTCCAAAAAAAAGGAGCCACGCAAAGTCCCTATCCAAATATTTTGTTTTCGGTCAAACAGTTTCTAATACTCGCGCGTAATAATAGATCAGATACTACGTCACGAAAAAGTCTATTAGCATGTATAATTTAATAACACAGATGAAGTTGGTTTATTTAATCCTTTTATTATTCTGCTTCTCTTGGATGAGAACTTCTAAACACACAGCGTATAATTATGAATTATTACTTTCGAAAATTAAATCTTCTTCGACTTCGTTTTATCGCATTCGGTCTCCAGTCTTCGCAAATTTTGCTACGAACCAGTGGCGGCGTGCACATGTAGTCTGCAAAAAAGAAAAGTCACTGGAATGCAAACTTGTCCTCAATATAGGCCGTTTAAAATGAATTGAGGGGTGTCATTGAATACTGTCTTAAAGGGACGCTAGCCTAATCTAATCAAAACATTCTACGTAACTAAATTTTTAATTAAAGATAAATTGAAATAATACAGAATGTTGAACACTCGTAAGTAAAATGACGTTATATATTACACCAAATAAATTGCAAAATTTGTTCATTTCAATATCCTACATTATAAGGATATTCTAACTTCTTCCCTGGCGAATAGTTTAACGTTTTTTTGGGTTCTATATATGATCTGTAGAGGCGGAGATGTACCAGAAAATAAAAATTAATGAATTAATTTTAACATAAATCATTAAATAAGCTATTTTATTTGAATTCCTGAAAAAATTCTACGTAAAATGTATACAAGTATATAAATAAATTTAGAGCTTTTTCTTGCGATACTATGGTGGAAGGACATGTCTAACTTTCCTCTTGGTGATGTCTAACATGTACTTGACTAATGTCCATGCGATTAGCTGTTTCCATTTCAGCGCCTTAAGTCTAAACTATGGTACATACTGAAAAGATCAACCGTAGATTATATAAATTGCATTTATTCAAAATGGTTAATAAGAACTAATTGTAAACAAATAAATACGGAAAGATAATATTTTTAGTTTAGAGTTTAATGTAGAAAACATTTTTGTTTTGCATCTTCGCAGCTCGTACAGAAAAACCGCCACTACTTTAAGTTAATAAATCTCAATAGAAACCGTTAAAAGAGGCCTTATCGATTTTCTTGTTGTTTTTTATTTCTCCTATTTCTCGAATTGTAGAAGTGAGCTTCTTCAAGGCGCCGTGTTTTACCATAAGACAAGTTTAATGAGATGTATGGATGTCTGGAAAATTTCAATGTTCACCGATTAATGGGAGCATTTCGGGTTAAATTTAGCACTTGGCGCATACCTACTCTATATTAGAATGATTTTTGAAACTCTTTCTTCATCATTTTAATTTAAAGACGTAGAATTTATAAATAGAAATACCTTTAGATTGAAATCTGATTCGTACTTACCTAAATGTTAGAAATGAGCAAACGAGAATTAAACTGTTTTTCTTCTTAATTTCAATAAAAATGCTCACAAACTCATCAGAAGAGTCCACTGTAACTTGATATCTGTTGGCCCATTAAAACCATGCGATTAAAGATCAATTTACATTGGAATCTCAAACTTCAATCTATTACAAGTAATATATATATTATACGTATATTTATGCATAATCATTAATGGATTATGTACAAAATCGAAATTCAAATATCTGATTTCAATAATTTCAAAATTTAGTATACAGGGAGGCCCAAGTATGATGACTTGGTTATTACAGGTATTAAAAAAAAAGTTCATGCAAGAAAGTAATGTAATTTGACCTTTTACCAGGAAAAAAAATCTATTAAGCTTTCCTCCAAATTTTCTCTTCTCGATTTTGATGAATAAAATTCAAAAGCGGTTACAAAATATAATATATTCTATAAATTTTAATGAAAAGTTTTTGAATTGAAGGTTAAGATTTTCCAGAATTAAAAGCTTAAGAAATCCTATTCAAAGCAAGGTGATTAAGCAAAACGGTTCGTTAGAAGTTTGGGAAGTCGTTTTCGTATTCCTTTGGATCATTATTTTAAGTTGAAACCAATAGGTCGCATATTTTCAATCAGAAATTAAGTTCGATAATTTTTTAATACTTCTTCAAATACCTATACCAGGGTTTATGTTCCCTGTTTCTCGGTAAAATACGTAAAAAGAGATGTTAGAAAGCAACAATAATTCGTTTTCTCAGTAATATCCTCTTGCTACTGATACTACGGAGTAATATTTCAAGTTGCTCTTCAGTTAAAAATTTGATTAATAATTGTAGGCAGAACATGTTAAAACAAGCAATAACAAATAAAGAACACAACGATATTTTATATTTTTTACGCTATAACTGTTTCACATTGGAAAGGTTTCTTCAATTAAAAGAAAATATGAATGAATTTAATATTGCTTAAAAGGGTGGATTATGGTGAATACATCCACTATATTAAACCGTAAATTACAAAAAGCTAATAGTAATACTCTTTCTAAATTTATCAGAAATAGTACAGATAATAATCATAAGGAGTCTATTCGCTAGAATGACAAAATATACATCGGACAAACCAAAAAATCCATCAAACAAAGAATCCTTAAGCATAAAAGAAATTTCACTCACACAAACGGACTCCGTCCCAAGCATTTTATAATTATTTGAAGACCACAGGGNAATACCTTTAGATTGAAATCTGATTCGTACTTACCTAAATGTTAGAAATGAGCAAACGAGAATTAAACTGTTTTTCTTCTTAATTTCAATAAAAATGCTCACAAACTCATCAGAAGAGTCCACTGTAACTTGATATCTGTTGGCCCATTAAAACCATGCGATTAAAGATCAATTTACATTGGAATCTCAAACTTCAATCTATTACAAGTAATATATATATTATACGTATATTTATGCATAATCATTAATGGATTATGTACAAAATCGAAATTCAAATATCTGATTTCAATAATTTCAAAATTTAGTATACAGGGAGGCCCAAGTATGATGACTTGGTTATTACAGGTATTAAAAAAAAAGTTCATGCAAGAAAGTAATGTAATTTGACCTTTTACCAGGAAAAAAAATCTATTAAGCTTTCCTCCAAATTTTCTCTTCTCGATTTTGATGAATAAAATTCAAAAGCGGTTACAAAATATAATATATTCTATAAATTTTAATGAAAAGTTTTTGAATTGAAGGTTAAGATTTTCCAGAATTAAAAGCTTAAGAAATCCTATTCAAAGCAAGGTGATTAAGCAAAACGGTTCGTTAGAAGTTTGGGAAGTCGTTTTCGTATTCCTTTGGATCATTATTTTAAGTTGAAACCAATAGGTCGCATATTTTCAATCAGAAATTAAGTTCGATAATTTTTTAATACTTCTTCAAATACCTATACCAGGGTTTATGTTCCCTGTTTCTCGGTAAAATACGTAAAAAGAGATGTTAGAAAGCAACAATAATTCGTTTTCTCAGTAATATCCTCTTGCTACTGATACTACGGAGTAATATTTCAAGTTGCTCTTCAGTTAAAAATTTGATTAATAATTGTAGGCAGAACATGTTAAAACAAGCAATAACAAATAAAGAACACAACGATATTTTATATTTTTTACGCTATAACTGTTTCACATTGGAAAGGTTTCTTCAATTAAAAGAAAATATGAATGAATTTAATATTGCTTAAAAGGGTGGATTATGGTGAATACATCCACTATATTAAACCGTAAATTACAAAAAGCTAATAGTAATACTCTTTCTAAATTTATCAGAAATAGTACAGATAATAATCATAAGGAGTCTATTCGCTAGAATGACAAAATATACATCGGACAAACCAAAAAATCCATCAAACAAAGAATCCTTAAGCATAAAAGAAATTTCACTCACACAAACGGACTCCGTCCCAAGCATTTTATAATTATTTGAAGACCACAGGGATGGTGAAATCTCTAGTGGAGAATGTGCGAGTATTCGAAGACCTTCTAAAAGAAATCTGTAACAATTAACTTATATAAAACATGTTGTAAAAATTATTTTTTATTTAATTTTTTGATACTTCTAAGTTAGACTCCGTCAAGCTTTTCTCAACCAATACAAGTCAAAGACCTCTACAAAGTAATTCAGAGCATTCTAAACATAGGCCTTTGAGTTTCGAATAAACGTATAAATGATAAATCATAATAATGCTCAAAAATTAAATTCGTAACAAATGTGTATAATGATTTGGATACTTTACTTAAACTGAAACTAATACCTCTCCGTTAATTTACAATTCATATACAAAAATACGCAGGATGATTCATGAATTTCTAATTATATGTTTTAGGTGCTCCCAATTCCGCAAAAACGTGATGGGGGTGGATCCAAACACCCCCCTAGGGAATGTCAGGGGTAGCGTAGGACCTCCGTTGTCCCAAACGACCACAGTATCGTCAAACATCGTTCCAACAGTCAACAAAACAGCGACAGCAACAACAACAATCAGCCCAAGAGAACAAATAAAGATAGAATTTTATCGAACGTACGATGTTATGACTGGTATTCGTATAGCTGCCACGTTAGGCGGATTTTTCAGCCTCATGGTTATCCTAATTGTATACAAATCAAAATCGAAGACTGACGAAGCTCTCAAAGATCCAAAACTGGCTGCCGCAGCTGTTGCTGAAGCTGAGGAGGAAGAACAAAGACAAATACAAGCGGTGGTCGAAGCAACTCTCTTTGAACAACTCCATCCTAATGTTCCAAGGGGATCTATTGACCTGAGCAGTTTACCTGCTTCCTGGGCAAGAACAGCAAGGAGATTCTCCTCAATCGGTGGCTACAGTAGTTTGTTAGAAAGACGATCGCAATTTAGTTCACAACTACCTAGTTTCGACGACGAGGAGTCCGCTGGAGACGAAGAGAAAACTGAATACGATGACGAACTGACTTATAATCGGTAAAACTCTTAAATTAATTACTATTACTTATTACAAGAATACACATATGGTATAAAATCCGAACGAGATACTTAATGTGGAAGGTAGGGTTACATTATTCGAATTTTAATAATCATAGATTCAAACTTTCCATGGTTTATTCAGTTTCCGTGGTTTAAAAACAGAGATGGATTTGACGAGTTCCCCAAAAAAGCTTAAGTATAATATAAAACTTGCTTACCATAAATAACGTAACATTTTCTATAAATTTTGTTCGACGCCCAAACACAATCTAACACCAAAATTAAAGGAGAGGTAACGATAAGCCCCTTATTCGGCCCCAACTAATTCTTTATATTTGTAGTGATATACTAGTACCATCGAAAAAGAAAAACTTCCTCCTGATTTTTCATTTTTATTGCATTTTGCGACACAAAATTTCTATTTAAAACAAAGCATAGTCAGTTAATACAGAAAAACTGAAATAAATATAATCACATTTCAATTTCGTTTAAATTTGTTTTTCACTATGAGTAAATAACAAGCTTGCAAGAGGCGATAATAACAATTTCATATATGTCTTTTTGTGTGTGTTTTTAATGCCATGTTGGTGCACTTTAAATAGTCCTGACTACTATCAGGGATGAATATAATTGTTATATAATTAAATTTTATTGTAATGGACGTCTAAACATTACTGTGTGTAGTAGCGTGGTAGTAAGCTGTTGATACTTACGTTATCAGTCACTCCACAACCGTCACTATTTACATTCTACATCAATGCAGCTGCTTAATTGTTAACACAACTCGCTCTTGTGTTGCCAATTCACGCCTAGGACCACCTTCGGATTGTAACTTCTGATTTTTTTTCTATTTTGTCCCTTTTAATTATGCTAATGTAATCAACAAGTTATTCCCTATTGCATCTAGTTGCTACTTCAGATTTACCCTATATATCTCACATATTTTACGTTCCTACATTTCATGTTCAAAAATTTTTGCACTCCATTGTGGACGATATACTAAATGTATAACTACCGACTAAAATCACAAAATATGGTGAGTTTTTGATATTTTAGAGAAAGGTTAAAGTTAAGTTTAGTCTATCTTTATCAAAGATAAGAAGGTGAACTATGTTAAATGACCCTTAAAGATCCCTGTTTTTGTGGCCAAAAAGGAGTTTTGTCGCCATCCCTCCTTTTCAAATTCTTGGAGATACAGGGATAAATTCAAAATAAACACGGATTAAAATTAAACAAAATGGAAGCATATCGCCTCTAGGATTTTAGACAAGCATTACAATTTTGTAATAAATTTAATCATCATCATCATAAGGTCGTCAGTCCTAAGACTGGTTGGACACGTACCTCCACTCTTTCCTATCCTGAGCTAAACTTCGCATTTCTCTAAAACTAGNTTGGATTTCCGTTGGTCAGCAATGAGACATCACGCTTAAAAGGTGATTACAAATTATATACTTGCTTATTAGTTAGAAGTGGACTATTGGAAATTAAAAGATCTTTCTTTTCGGAATTCAATACTAAAAAATTTACAATTTATAATGCACGCCATATACATAACGGATACGTGGGAGGAGGTTAGCCAAAAAATTGATGAATATCGTGTTACATGGTACCTTATCTATGGTATACTGATGAGAGCTAAGAAGTTTGAAGTCGCGATCGTTTCTGGCAGTTTTAGTAAAAGAATTTGACCAAGAATTTATTGTTCATTACTTAGATTATTATTATTACTGTTTGGGTTTGGACTTGTTCAGACCTTCGCAAGCATGGATAATCCCTCGGTTTCCCTTTTTTTCCCTTTTTAATTGCGAATTGCGCTTACGCTCCAAGGGAATCTTCGCAGAAGAAGAATATAAATAGCATTTTCAACTTTCTTCCTACAAAAACGACAGGAAGATCTGATGGTTCATCCTAGTTTATTCCTGTTGTATCGTAGTTCTCTGTGGTCTTTATGGATTTCCACAAGGGTCCTAGCTTTTTCCTTTTGAGACTGGGAAGACAGTTTATAGGAGAAACGAAGCCCTCTACTTGTCTGCATCCTGATTGTATTTGTTTGGGAAGGCCCATTTGCAATTTCTTCCTCAACGAGGCTGTTGCAGGTGCCAACAGCTGGTTCTAGGACAATGGGATGCTACTAAGGACCTGCTGTTGCAAGATCGTTTGCAAGATCATTTTACATTGTCGCCATAGCCCAGAATACAGAACAAGATCATCTTGGTTTAGGTCGCTTATCTGTTACAGACTTGGTGGCGGTCCTCTAACAGCTTCGTTTGGTAGTTTTATAAGTTGTTGATCAAGAACATATATTATTCTTGATTTTTAGAGTCATTTGGTCGAAAATATAAACGGTTATGAAGATGAGGGTATATAAAAAGCAAGCGTCACAACGAACTTTATTGTGAGTCATTACGTATTATTAAGTAACTATTTCAAATAGGAAATATCACTCTACCAGAGAGTAATTTTGTGTTTTTTCATTCTCTGAATTTTACGTCTGTTTAAAATTATAAACAAAAGAAAATATAAACCCGTTTGTGCTTTTTTAAACAAATTAAAAGCGTGATTGTTCGGAAGTTCCTTATTAAATAAATTAAGGAATAAATTTAAAAACATTACCGTTTAACTGCCACGATTTTTAACATAATTTTGTTAGGGTGTCTCTTTTTTGTACTGATTATCTCTTTGTTTGTAACATGTGTCAACAACCGTGCACTTCGTATTCTTTTGGTCTATGTTTCAAAGTAAAATTAATTACTTCAAGTAACTAATTAATACCACGAACCCTTTGATGACTATGCATTTGCATAATTATAAAATTAATTCTTTACGGCATATGTCACTAACTCGTGCTTACCCGCATAAAATAATGCAAATCTTCCCGAGGGTGCAAAATATGGACCAGAATGTCTGAACGAGGTTTGTTTAAGGAGAACAATCTCTACGGCACATGTTCAGGATATTTTTCATTCAGCAAGGTAATATTTTACGCGAATTTACAGATGACGCTATCTCAAAAAGCGATGAGGCAATGATGCATGTGAAAGGGTGATACTTATGGAATTTTTATATACCTAACCAACGTGTAGCGTGACAGATTCCTTTCAGTAAATTAAAAACGAAAAAAATTAACCCTGTTAGTTTTCAAAAAGTCTCGCGTAAAACTACATTTCACATTCACGTTTTCCTACTAAAAAAGTAAACAGGAAGTTTTGACAACTCAAGGCGAGTTGCTGGATGCTGATAAAAATTTTCGAGACATAAAAGTCGAAGGGGGAATATTTATTGAACAATGTAAACAGCAGTAGTGTCTACATGTTGAATTATTCTTTGACGGTTCTGTAGATTTTTCGCTTGGTATGATGAAGTAAATAAATAAAAGTAAAACAAAAATACTGATATGCAAGGGAAGAAAAAGTAGGGAAAGAGCAAATATAAAGATAGGAGACAAAAAATTAGAAGAACTGGCTGATTTTCGGTATCTAGGTAGTCAGATAAGTCAGGACGGAAGGAATATTAGCAGGAATATAAAGCAGAGGACAGCGCGAAGTCGAGTCACTTCTACGCGGCGGTGTATGGGTGCAAAACATGGACAGTGGACGCGGCGGAAAAGAAAAGGTTAGAAGCGTTCGAAATGTTGTGTTACAGGCGAACGATGAGGATACCATGGATAAAGAAGGTTAGAAATGAAGAAGTATCAGAAAGAGTAGGAAAACAGAGGCATAAAGAACTAGTCAGGGAAATATTACAAGCAGAAACAGGAGTTAAGAGGAGTAGGAGTAGACCTAGATTACATTACGGTTCGTAAATAGTTAAGGATGTGGGATGTTCTAGTTTCAGTGAAATGCGATGATTAGCTCAGGATAAGAATGAGTGGAGGTGCCTGTCCAACCAGTCTTAGGACTGACGACCTTATGTTGATGAGATAATGCTTTTAACTTTAATAACTTGTTTAATGAATGCAAACTTCGGCTGGTAAAATTTAATGAATTTTTAAATTTAAATAAAAAATGCCTTGAAATTTATTTTTCTCTTTTTGTCTGTTTCTTGTGCAATTAAAATCGGGTTTTGTGGTATATTATTAGTAGTATCATCCCTCAAAGCCAGAACTGAATATTTGTCATTTTCGGAAGTTTTAAGCCCCACTTTTTACCTTCTATAACAGCCTTCATTTTTATTGGTTTGGTAATACGATAACAAGCATTTTTAACGACTTCCATCCATTCGGTAGAAAAATAAAACGATAAAAATATTTTATGTATAGAAATGTCATTATTCCAAATTATTCAATTTTCAGAAACAGTCGTTAAAAGAAGCCCGACTTAAAATCGAAACGAATATTTCAAAGGGCCAAGGATTTATTTATTATCCTCGACAACTTATATTTCTGTATGCAGGATAAAGCACACATTAAAAAATTGAAATCCTTGTAGACCAGTGACATGTTGAAAATTCATATTTAATGTTTTTAATCAGCGGCCCTGCCGTGTACATGATATTAAAAAGTTAAGACAAATAATGAATTTTACGTTATCAACTACATAAACAACTACGCAGTTACTATTTATACAAAGGGTTCCTCAAAGCTTCTCGAACAAAATTTATGATAATCAATGGGTCATCCACTTTTTCAACGAATCTATCTATAGTTGAGACGTTCAAAATTGGCATGATCCCCAATAAAACTGTCGCATTTACTGTCTTCTTTCAACTTACTAAATAGACTAGAGCGGTTGCTGACAGAACGTCTACTTTTACTTACGATAGATAGACGTTGTAGGACATATTGTAAATATAGAAAAGAGATGTCAGGTAGGAATTGCAGCGGATACTAATAAAGAAAAATAAACAACATTACACCAATTAATATGTAACAGAAAGCGATACAGACAAGCAGAATTTGAGAGCAAAAACGATTATTTAAAGATATAATTCCAACCAGGCACTTATAAAGCCGACCCTGATCTTCTACGTACCTAAGCCACCTCTAACCGCTGCAC